AACATACCACGTGACACACAAAAATCGTTGTTTATCTGTGTTTTTTAATATTTATTATAAATTAACAAATTGAGTAATACATAGTTCTAAAATTTGAATTATAATTTACACTTTGATACCAAACTTATTGACATTAAATTCGTGAAATAATAGTTCAATAAAATTTTGAATGTGAGTCAACAAATGAGATGACATGGCCTTTCATCTGTGACCCATATAGAAAGGGTTAAAAACAGGGACTAGCTCTAAAAAGACCATACATATTTCAGTGTTCTTATATCACCATCTTTAGGTGTAAGAATGGCGAAACATGTAGGGTCTTTTTAGGGCTGGTCTCTGTTTTTAATGAATTATTTATTGTGTAATTATTTTAGCATTGTACACCTTCAACTTTTTTAATACTATCAATAACAAACACTATCTTTTTGGGTTTATTGTATTGTTAATCAATAAGACAAAACTGTATAATGTTATTATGTTAAGTTTTTTTAATGTTTTTTTTGAAGTTATAAATATGGAAATACTATTGCATTAGTAAAGTGTGACAAATTAGGCACATGTTTTAAGTTCCACTGAATGAGCAAGGTATACACCGGTTTTGATTTCTTAATCGTGAGCATACAAACCTCAAACTTATCAGTTGGAAATGTTAAGTTGTATAAAATCTTGCTTACCAATAATATTTAATTCTGTTGTTGTTATAGCATCTTTGGAAGTAACCTTTCAGCTATTTTCTTACAGAGTCAGTTTGATTTGTGTTGTATGGTTACTGTTTGTAGACTTGCATTTAATTCTATGAAAGAACATTCTAGGTAAATAAAAAATGTTTATCTTATATATATATATATAAAAACCCATTACCTGTTGTCAAAAAGAATAATTTCAGAGCAATTGGCTGAATTACATTTTAAATATACTGCATACCAAGTTTTCTTGAGAAGATATGTTTCTTTTATTTTTGTAGTTCACATAGATTTTCCGTCTTTAATTGCTTGCTGCATGACATTGCATCATCCCATTTGAAGTTCTAAGGTTGTTCATTAACATTGTAACATATATTTCTTAACATTTTACAGGAGGTGCTATAATACAGTTAATTTGAAATTGGGCTTTAAACTCGTTTTAGAGGTTAAGAAATTTTTTTCCTTTGAAGTTGAAAACTTCTGTTATAATTACACTGTATTATTAAAATAATTTGTTATTTTAACCTAAGACCTAAGACTATTTATTGAACATTAAGAATAAAAATAAAGCTCTCTATATTTATTAAACATTTTTGTTGTTGTTGTTCTAGTGCTAATTTTGCTTCTTATGTGATTTTTTACAGAGTGGTAGATCTCGTGGATTTGCTTTTGTATATTTTGACTCCATTGAAGATGCTGAAGAAGTAAGGTTTATTGCTCATTTTAATGTTATAATTACAATACTTTTTGTTAAAACAGTCTTTGTTTAATCACATATACCTAGGTACATACTCTCTGAGATTTTACCTTCACTCCTTCTTTCATGTGTTTTTTTTCTTCTTTATAAAGCTTGATAAATACTTAATATATTTATTAACCCACTCTTCATGGGCATCTTTTTCTGAGCATGTCACAAGGTTTTAGTGAGTTACATTCAAAATTTAATTAAACTATTTTCTTTTCATGGTATATCAATAATATACCATAAAAACGTAGCTAATAATCCATATTCAAATAATATATTTGTTGTAAGTTCTTGATTTTATAAAGTGATATTGAAACAAAATTCTGAATTTCCCCTAATGTGAGAATTGTGACATTTTCTCTGTAGACATCCTCTCTTCTCTAATTTATTTACCAATCTACCAAGAAGTATGAAATTACTCATTATAATGTCATAATCACTCGGGCAAAGCATAATTTTCTTAGCCTTTAATCTTGTATGATTACAGAGCCATCAAATAGAAAAACAGACCCCTCTTACCAGGCCAACTTGTCACATCCTCTCTTTCAGTAAAAAGCCAATATTTTAATCTGTCAAATGACATATTACATTACATTGTTTTCTGTACAGAGAATTGTCAATTTCCCTTTCAGTATAAGCTTTATTCCAATGGAAAACACATTGACTAGCTTTGCTGAATTTGAAATGGCTCTTGTAGCATAGTTAAAAAGCCAGAATATTTTTGATAGTTATGGGACATTGTCTGATTTTTACATATTGTTATTCTGTGTTCTTTGGTATGTTATTTAATTAAATAAAATATTTAGTGCAATAGTACTATTAGTATAAAAAACAAAAATAGGGTTAAGTGTCATTGGCAGTCAACAGTTAAAAAAAAAAAGCCAGATAAGTAATTTATTTCTTGTTTTTCATGTGTATTCTTTATTTATTATTATAAAAATAACTAAAATGTACAAATAGAAAACTTTTTAGTTTAATTATGGTTAGATTAGGTAAAATTAATAGTAATATAATAGAAAAGTTTAACAAGGTACGCTTGTGTGTAATGTAATTCGATAAGCATAATGTGAGCTGCACATTTACCAAGTGATTTATAACTCATATTATGTGAATAATAGTTAGACATGGTTCAAAGGGCAATAAAACAATATAATCTTAATATAAAGTATACTGTTATGATTTTATAGCTATTTAGGATGAACAAATGTATTTCATGTAACAGTTCATTCTATTAGGTTGTCAAGAAATTAATGTCGTTTTTTTTTAGATGAAAAAATCTGAACAACTTGCATATCAAAATAAAACATTTATTAAATGAAATAGTTTCATTCTTATTGATGATGCTTTCCATC